ATACTATCTCCAAAAGGCTTACCTTAGTTTCAAAAAGAGAATTTTCCTAAAAAAAACAAAGAAAACAAAGAAAAAAGTGTTAAAAACTTTAACAATAAATAAAAAAAAAGTTAAAAACCATTTAAAAGTTATTTTAATTTGCTTATCTTAATTCCAAAATAAGATTTTTCTAAAAAAAACAAGAAAAAAAAAAAATACCCAAAAAGTAACTTCTAATTTGCTTACTTTAATTTCAAAATAATTCCTAAAAAAAATTAGAAAAAAGAAAGGAAAGAGTTAAATTTTTGCCCAAAAATCATCTCATTAGAAAATAAAAGGAAGAAATAATTATTTTTAGAATATTCTTAAAGTTTATCAGTTTTATATTTTAAACTAAACTAAAATTTCAATTAATCTGAAATTTAGATATTATTTATACTATTTATCATAAATGTTTCAAATAAATAATTTTGTATCATCTGATTGCAAAATCAACAATTATTTGATTGTTATCTAAGAATGATAATAAAATTCTTCTTTCAGAATGATAATTTGATCATTCCTTAAAAATAATATTAGTAGAAAAGGAGAAAATCCAAAATTTTATTAATTTTTATTATTAAGCCAAATTTGTACACATGATTAAGATTAGCCAAGTAGTCTAATAATATAAATTTTGACTAAAATTTAGATTTCCTCCTTTTTTACTGACCGTCTCCTATATAAAAAATTGTTCTTTTAGAATAATGATATATCATTCTGAAAGAACAATAAAAAATAAAATTGTTCTTTCAAAATGATAATGTATTATTCTAAAAGAACAATAAAAAATAACATCATTCTTTCAAAATAATAATGTATCATTCTGAAAGAATAATAAAAATAATATCATTTTTTTGAAATAATGATGTATTGTTCTGAAAGAACAATAAAAAAACATTATTCTTTCAGAATGATGATGTATCATTCTAAAAAAATATTCATTCTTTCAGAACAATGATGTATTGTTCTGAAAGAATAATAAAAAATATTATCATTCTTTTGGAATAATAATGTATCATTTTGAAAGAACAATAAAAAAATAACATTGTTCTTTAGAAATAATGATGTATTATTCTGAAAGAACAATAAAATATAACATCATTATTTCAAAATGATAATTGAATTGTTTCAAAAGAATAATATCAAAAATCATTCTTTAGAATGATGATGCATCGTTCATTTAGGAATGATTTCTATTGTCTCTTTAGGAACGAATGTAACATTCTTTTAGGATGATTTCTATCATCTTATTTGGGATAAATATATTATTCCTTTAGGAATGAATGTATCATTTCTTTAGGACAATTATATTGTCTCTTTAGGAATGATTATTTATTCCTTTGGGAATGAATGTATTGTTCCTTTAGAATAATTTCTATCATCTCTTTTGAAATAATTTTATCATTCCTTTAGAGATAATTTTATCATCTTTTTTAAGATAATTAATTCTATAATTTCTTTAAAAAAGAATGTATCATTCCTTTAAAATGATTTCTATTGTCTCTTTGAAATGATTACTTTTGAAATATTTTTATAATTTTCACAAAAATTAGCTCAATTGATTTTGACTAGTGATATACAGTCAATTTGTTGCCAAATCTTGAGTCTAATTGAAATTTTGCTGAATATTATAACTAAAAGATCTTAATGCTAAAATAATACTAAATTATATATGATATAATAATTAACTATTAATTTTTATAACTCAAGTTAAACTTTTACCAAATTACATGACCAAATCAGCTGAATATTTATTGAACGATATTAGCACTGAAAGAAATGATTTTGATTAGTAGAATTATATAATATATATTAATTTATTATTAATTAGGAGTTTTTTTTTAATATATAGTCCCTAGCAAAAAGAATGGCAGTAGTAATACTGCATCTATTTTATGTCGTGATATGTTAGTTTTCTGATTTAGATCATAGTTTATATGACTAAATCAGAACAATAGAACTCAAATTTAAAAGGATAAGTCTAAATTTGTTTTATTTTATTTTGATTTTGATTTCATCCCCATGATCATGCTAAGCTTCCTTGAAATAAAACGAAACTTAGTGTTAACACTCTATAACCAAAATATGCATAATGCAAAGAAAATATCACAATGATTGTGCATTCCTTTACACACATGTGAACGATATGTTAGTTTACTACATAAAACTGACAATATAACTATAAATCATTTGATGTATTTCTTATCAAAATCCAGCAGGAATAGGACAATTCTGATAATAGTGTGTTATTAAGATGTATTGATAGCATGCCATACTGGATTAAAGCATATATCGATGCAGAAGGAAATCACACAATTTATTAATTAATTAATAAAAATTGTTTCGTTAGTATCGGCAATTAATTAAAAAAAAATTGTATTTAAATAATAAAGTTTTACATACTGTTTAAAATTGTATCCGCCATTCTTTTCGTCGAGGACTGTACTATTCTATTAGATTATGTTATATATTTTATTTATCAAAATATTATTATATAATACATAATATTATTTTATTAATATATTAAAATCTTTAGTAATATTATTGAGATTATTATACTAATCATTTTTTATTTTTATTAAATAACTTATTAAGAATAACAGATTTAAGAATTTTATAAATCCAAAAAATTTGTTATATATTAAAAATGAAAACTGTAATTAATATATTGCAACTTTTAATATTGTAATATATAGTCCCCAGTGAAAATAATAGCAGTAGAAATATCGCATCTATTTTAGGCTAAACATAAACTGTGTTTTCAATAGGGATTATTATTTATATAACCAAATTGGATGCTGGTATTATAATATAAAAGGTAAGTTTAAAAAAATAAGGGTTGTTTTTGTTTTTGATTTGATTTCTTAACCAAAAAAATGCCAAGCTCTCTTAAAATTCAACAAAAGTTTATTAAGTCTCTCTAGGATCAAAACGTGTATAGTATAAAGAAAATTCATAAACGATTGTATATTCTTTTGCATACATATGAATGATATGTCAATTTACTACGTAAAACTGCCAATATTACTATTAGTTATTCTTTTGGCTGCTCAAGAAAATTGTCTGCAAACTAACGCTACTATATCAGAAAAATTCTAAAATACGACTATTTTACTACTGCAGGTGAACTTAAGATCAAATTAGAAGAACTGCATTAAAATCTCCCATGATAATAATGTGAAAACCAGACTGAAGGCTATTGTCTATGAGTCGTAGTAATGTTATTTGTAGGACTTTCCTTCTTAGATTCAGTGGCATAGATATAAATTGAGAAAACTCTTAGTTTTATATTTCCTTTTAAGTAGAGATTAACATAAATATAACGATCATTATCCAAGAATTTTTTAGCAATATGCTTTGACCAGGATTTGCTGATAAGTAAACTAATACCTGAGAACTTGTTTGAGACAGAACTCCACAAGGTATCAAAAAAAGGATCAGAAGAACATCTAAAAGATTGTGAAGATTAATGCCAAGTTTCTGATAAAACAACAAAGTTAATGTTCTTTTGGTGAAAAGTATCTAGTATTTTGCTATTTTTAATATCATCACGAAGAGAATGTATATTATGAGTAGCAAAGGTGAGGGTGTTTCTATTTAAAATTAAATCTCTATCATTACTATGTGAATTTTCTAAGTCATTATCTATTATAAGAATGAGTTGATCATATGATGAAAGTAACTTGTGAAGTAGAAAAGCATTATTATTTCTTGGTGAAAAACAATTATTATTATTAATAGGATCAGTGGGAAAAGTATTAGGTAACGGAATATTATTTGTTGTATTAATCATTTAAAGAATGTAAATAATGAGTGTATCTAATTATTAAGACTGGCTAGCATTCATCACGAACTGTTCAATTTGTTTGAATATTCTGTCTATCTGTCTTTTTTGTTTAGCAATAATAGCAGCTTGTTCATTTACCATATTAGTAAGGTCAGGTTTTGGGGTCAAAATTGGTAAGGGTAAAGAGTTATCACTTGAAGATCCAGTAATGCGAGATCTTTTATTAGATGTATCTTGTGATTTTAGTGAAGGTTAAGAAACGTGTGAAACTATTAATAGATCTTTTCCTTTATTAACAATAGTTGAAGGAATTATAATAGACGTAATTGAGAAAGAAGCCTGAAGAGATTTCAGTTTGGTGATTTTAGCATCCAGTTCATTCATATCCTTTTTCATATTAGAGAGAATTGAGAGAATCTGATCCAATTTATTATTGATTTCATTATTTGGATTTTGAACAGAATCCTTCACAGTTGGTTTAATAACATCTTTTGATGGTGAAGATAGGGGAGTATTCTTATTTTTGATGGCCTCAGAATAAGATTTTGAAGAATGATTGGATCTATTAGAATCTACAAACTTTCGAAAACTGGCAGGTTTAAATTTGTTGTAGAGCCTTTGCATAAAATTATTTTGAGTAGAAGTCCTTGGTTTGATAGGTTCTTCATTTTCATTTGGTGGAGTTGATTTTTGTAAAAAAGGACATTTCATAACAAGATGAGCTAAATCATCACATTTGTGATAGCTTCTAACATCAGGAGAATACCATATCAGTTGATTATTGCCAAAGGCAAAATTTTGTTGAGTTGCTTAGTTGAGAGCTTTCTCATTATCAAAATATAGAATAACAAAAGAACGAGATTTGTAGTTATTGGATTTAGGAATATAACTAGCTCTGGCTTTAGTAGCAAGAATGATATTATGTAGATCTCTTGTAGAGGTACCAAAAAGAAGATTTGTTAATTTGATGCGATGTGTATTCCTATATTTAATTTCTTCTGAAGATAAAGTGCACAGATTGACATGAACAGAATCATTCTAGACAAATCGATTTCACACTTGATAAAATAGTTCAATATATTAGGTTTTCATAAGTAATGTAGGCATGTTGCCACATACCTCTTACTGTCATTTTAAAGTCAGTAATAGTTTCATATTTGGCAAAAACTTGTTTGATATTGGCAGGCTTCATTTATAGAGGAATATCAGTAACATGAATAGTTCTTTCATTAAATTGTATATCAGCTTTGTATTGGGAGAAATCACAGAAAGTGTCGATCTTAAGATCAGTAATAGTCACGTGTAAAGCTGCAGTAGTCGTGTCTGATGTTGCAAAGTAGACAATTACTGAATACGTCAAATTGACGCATCGAACTGAAACTCCTCGAAAATTATCATTTTGAGCAAAACATTATTAATGGTAAAAATAATTTTGCTGTTGTTCTTTTCTTTGAGTGTAAACTTGATATTACTAGCAATTGCAAAAGGAGTAGCTTTTGTAATAATACTGAAATCTTTTAAGTCTTCTTTCATATCATCATCTTCGAGATATTCATCAGGGTCTAAGAGTTTTGACCTAATTTTAGATGAAGAAGAGTTTTCAGGAATATCATCAACTTTGTATTATTATTATTATTATTATTTGAAGGTGGAATAACTGATAAAATTTTGTTAGGAGTGATACGTCAAAAAATTCAAACTCCATTGTTTTATCCGGTAGTGAGCCAAAAACTTCTTAAACAATTTCTAAATCAAGGTTTGTAGAAACTGAGGTTGAGGTTGAAGAAGACGAAGGAGTTGGTATAAAAATAGCAGCTTCCTTTGGAGCTTTTGGAGTGATGTATGAAATGAACTTAGGGACTATTTTTTTGTTTTACAGCGCTTTTACATATCATAACTCTCTCGTGTAAGGTAGAAGGTGAAGTAAAACAAAAGAAACCTTCTTTATACTGGGTTTATTAATTAATATTTTGTTAAAAACGAACTTTTGAATTTTTTATTTTTCTATGAAAATTTTTGGTTTTATAAAATAGGGGAGAAAGTCTTTTTTATTCAAATTTTTAAATAAATTGAATTTAATATATATCTTGATATTAATCACACATTACATGATGAATACCATAAAAGAAAATTATGTGTCTTTATACACAAAGTTTACATAAAGCGAATTAGAACTTAAATAAAACTAAAAATAACATTAACAATGTTATAAAATTCTTTTTATACACTATATATTAAAAAAAATTATATCTCTTATAATTAATTATGTCACCCATAATTAATTACGTCTATAAGTATTAATTATCACCTCATAATTAATTATGTCTATAAGTATTAATTACCACTTCTATAATAATTATGTCTTCTGTAATTAATTATCACTTTGTAATTAATTTTGTAATTATGTTTTTTTTTAAAAAAATAGTATTTAATTATTATAATTATGTATTACGTATATACTTAATTTAGATAATTACTATGCCAAATATAATCTAAATATAATAAAAATTAAAATGCAATTAAAATCTCAACTTTGATAAAAAATTCTTAAAACTTGATTTTCTTAGATCACAATCCATATGTTCAAAAATGTGATAATAATCAATATAATAACTTTTAATCCAATTATTTCAGTTTATTAATATACTAATAAAGTATGTATCTGTATATAATTTTGTGAATTTTTATATCTAGCATAGAATTATACATAATAGAAAGTTTCATTATAAAATTCGTTATATTCAATTATTTTATTTGAGACCACTCATTTAATTAACTATAACAAAAAATTCAGAATATAGATATTCGTTATAAAGAGGTAAATATAACAGGTAATTTGATTGTTTATACGTAATTTTTATTCTTATAAAAATATAGCATGTGATTTTATTGTTTGTAAATAACACATGATTTTATTGTTTATAAATAATAATGGAAAGATTTATATAACAATATAAACTTAAATTAAAGATCTACATAAATATAAATAACCCTGATATTTTATTTTTTTTTTATTTTATTATTTTTTTTTTACAACAATAAATTTTTTTATAATGTCATTACCATTATTATCATCTTCAGATACAATTTCAAATTTACAAAAACAAATTAAACTTTATCAACAAAAGTTAGTACAATTAGAAAATAATTCTAACTTTACTCTTGCTTCAGCAACTCCAACTCCAACTCCAACTTCAGCTCTTATAGTTCCAATTCTAACTTTAATTGAAAATATCTTTAAACTAAAATAAAGATATATCAAGAGTAGCGATATTTTGAATTTATTTAAATTTTCAAAAGAAGAATATAATAATATATTGGTAAAT